CCACTACCAGTACAGCTGCTACTACTACTACTACTACGACTACGACAACAACAACTACTACTACTACTACTGCTACTACTACTACTATTACTACTACTACTACTACTACTACTACTACTACTACTACTAGTAAACTAGTACTAGCACTAAAACTCGTCGTCGTCGTGGTGGTGGTAGTAGTAACTAGTTGTCGCAACTCGTGAGTAGCTAGAAACTTGTACGTGTTAAATAGTACGTAGTAGCTAGTAATAACTAGTAGGCAGTAAGAAATCCAGTAGTAGTGGCAGCTTCCCGACAAATCACGACACAAAGTCTTGGCAACGATCGGTGCCACTCGAGCTCTGGGGGCGGTGCTGGGGTTTATGGCTGCAAGGGTTTAGCAACGGAAGATTTTGGGAGTCCAGTCTCCGATGACGGAGAATCACCCTGAATATCATCAGCTGCTTCAATGTCCCAAACCAATTGGAAATTATTGGAATCTTCACGTTTAGCCCAAATGTAGTAGTTCGCATGGGCAAAGCACAAACACGCCAGGGCAGGCGCACTCTAACCACTAAACACACACCCTCAAGCTCGCCAGCTTAAGCTTCCCAAACTTTGAAAACAACGGCCGCGACCCAACACCTTCGAAGCTGAGCCCTAAGCTCTAAACCTCAGACTGCACCCGAGTTTGCGGCAGTTACAGGTTTAGGGCTTTAGCGGTTTAGGGCTAAGGGCTACCCGAAATCCGAGACGATGCGGCACCGGCTTCGCCGCTTTCCAGGGCTTCCTTGGGCGACCCGGGGAGTACCATGCTGTCTGCGAGTTCACTTGCGAAGAAGAAGAACTTACTACTGTGCTGTGGGTGTTGTTTGGTTGTTGGTTTTTCTGGTTTCGGTAGCTCGAAGTGCATGTATTCCATTGCCAGAGTGCAGCTAACGTATGTGTATGCATATCTATCCACAAATGCGTCTATACATAATATACATATATAGTATACACATTTAGGTATTTATTGTGTTCATGTGTGTATGTATATGTATATATATATATATATATCCTATGTGTGTGTGTGCATATGTATTTACTTATTGTATAAGTTTGTAAGGATCTATGCATGTACGCATAATACATGTGTACGTACATGCATACATACATACATACATACATACATACATACATACATACATGAATATTTACAAAGACATACGGAGCGAGAGAGAGAGAGAGAGCCATGTGTGTTTGCACGCAGCTACACACTCAGCTGCCGACAGCGCTTGGGCCGCATCAACGATGCGTGACGGGTTTCCTTCGAAGTCTCGCATCCAGGGAAGCTCTGCCAGGACCTGAACCAGGGAGCGTCTGTGCGGAAGCAGTGTAACAGCAGGACCTGAACAATTAACATGAGATTGTGGGACACATTCTACTAGAGTTCTGTAGGGACGATACGGGAATACCCCAAACCCTAACCCTAAATACTACAGTACTTCATGCTGACAACGGAAACCGCAAGAGGTAGAGGGAACCAGAACCAGGCCGGGAGCCCAGAGTCATATTCCACTATGTCATAAGTCATAGCTTGTAGTACATGCAACAGAGTATATGAATCCTGTCTGTTTCATCGTAGTTTAGTAGATTATGGTAAATCATGGTAAGTTATCGCATGTTCTGGTACGTGAGGGTGTACTTCAGTACATTATCAGCATCGCGAAGTTTTGGAATCAGCCATACAGCCTAGCCTGACCCGGACCCTTAAACCTAGAGGAAGAATTAATCTGACGCCCGACACACTTTTCCTCAAACCTCGAACCGGTAGGCTTCAGCGGCTCGTGCTGTGGCAGTAGCTGTGGCACTTAACAGTGGCCAAAGCGAGAGGGTTTAGGGTTCAGGGTCTAGAGTAGAGTCATTGAATTAGGACGCTTCTACCGAGTCGGGACTCCCTTGATGCAAGGGGGCTTGGGCCTGTTGGTACTGAACCCCGCAGTGGGAAGTTGGAAGGGAACATAGAACACTCCCCACAGAGGATAAAGTCCAGCCCTGAACCGCAACTACCAAACATTACAGGCCTTCTCAGCATTTGGCCCAAGATCCCCGCGACTTGGCTCAGCCGTCTGCGACCCCAACCTTACATCTCCACGCTCCTCCTTCCTGCCAAAAGTCTAAACCCTCAACGATCCTGAAACGACTGCAAAACCCTACACCCTAAACCCAACAACCCCTCATGCCAGGCCCCCAAAGGCTCGACAAGGGTCTTCAAGCCCCTCTAACCCTGACGCCAACATCTAAATCCTAAACCTGAAGACTCCTCAGCCTGAGCCCGATACCAACCCTATAGCCCTTACGAGCCCCCCCTAAAACTCGAAAGTCATCACTCCCAAGCCGGAAACCGATCAACTGAGTCACCGGCCATGTGATCCCCCAACGCTTGCCCAAAGCCCTCGGCGATCTTTGGCGGAGTGCTGGGCACGTTGGCTCCTGGCTGCATTGAGAGGGGGCCAGGGACTCGGTATGTACATTTTTGGATTCAGGGGGTTTCATTAGGGGTTTTCGGTTTAGGAGTAGGGGTTTTGGGTTTAGGATCTCAGCATAATCCCAACAAAGTGCCTAGGACTTGAACCTCCAAGGAAGATGTAGCGACGCCCGAAACCTTCAAACCACTCAGCTTGCCATCCGGAACACGAATGTATCCGAGGAGTCCAGAAGATAGCAGAGCTAACATAGGGCGCTAAACCCTAAACCCTAAACCCTAAACGGGGTTAAAGCTTAGGGTTTAGGGTTTAGGGTTTTGGGTTTTGCATAATTACCTTTTCCCTATACTATTTTGGGGGTTCCTTATTATGACTACAGTAGAATTTACCCCAAAACCCTATTCTAATTATTAAGGCCCCTATATTACTCAGGCTCTGGAGGCCATCTTGCATACAGCCTACGGGAATGTTCCATAAGCAAGTCCCCTAAACCCTAAACCCTAAACTCCCTAAACTTAAACCCTAAACTCCCTGAACCCTAAACCCTAAACCCTAAACCCTAAACCTTCCTCCCCAAAACCCTAACCGTACTGACAGCGCTAGGTCCGAAGCATTGAACATCAGGTCGGGGCTCCTACTTTAAGGGCTTGACTAAAGGTTTAGGATTTAGGGTTTAGGGTTTAGGGTTTAGGCTAAAGGCAGACCGGTAAGCATGAAACTACAAACACAGCAGGGCGGTCGAAGTTCTGCTCGCCGCACCCTCCAAGACGGATTGTCGCTGCCCGAATGCCTAATGTATATTTAGAATAGGGTTTCGGGGCCCGGTTAAATATAAATATAATAAGGAGCCCTATAAGGAATAATATAGGTAACTATTTAGGCTTCTATATTCGTCCCCTCCAGCCGACAAAAACTCCAAAAGACTCTCCTGGTTCCCCAGACAACTCGAAGTCGTAGAGCGGCCGGGCCGCACGGCAAAGGAACAGGCGCGCCTGTCTTGAGCCCTTTTGGGGCTTTCAGAACTTGGATTGAGGCTTCAAAGTTCGGGCAATATAGAAGCCTAAATAGTCATCTATATTATTCCTTACGGCTCTTTATTATGCTTATAAGCCCCGAACCCCTATTCTAATTATTAAGGCCCTACATTATTGGGATTGAGGGGCTCAAAACTTTGAGTCCGGCTAAGCTTCACGGTTTAGGGCTTGAGGGTTGAACGCTTTGGGCCTCATATGGGGGACTTAATAATTAGAATAGGGTTTTGGGGCCCATAGGAAGCCCCAAAATAGTATCGGTAATTATTTAGGCCCCTATACTTGCTTGGGTTTCAGAGCGTCGCAGATAGGATTCACATAGCTTAACGGTGGGCTCTCGCAGCAGCACAGACTTTTTCTGATTTTTTGGGCTTCAAAGCGGGGCCCGATGCCCCGGCTGCCTTGGCTTAGAGGCCCGGATGCTAGAGGGTTTAGGGTTTAGGGTTTAGGGGGTTTTGGCATTTTTATGCGGGTTTGGGTTTAGGGTTTAGGGTGTAGGGATTAGGGTTTAAGGGTTAAGCGATTGTTAGAGGATTCATGCCTTCTTGCCGCATAACCAGCTAAACCTTTTCGCTGTCAGGAGGGGTTTTAGCAATTACACAGTTTAGGGCGGTTCAAGGGTTAGCTAGTCACTGTCATGGCCTAGGATGCGATTGCGCAAACTTCTCTCCCAAAGAAGCAGGCCCTACTACAGACGCACTTCGCAACTTTTCTTCGAACATCCACCCAGGCAGTGCATGGCAATGCCAAGACAGGATGGTGGAAGACTCAAGTTGAAAGATTAGCCGCGCCATCAGCACATTCGCATAAGAACTCAGCCGCGGAGAGCTACCCTTGGGATAACTTGGTGCCCTATGCGGCCCTACTGATTCGATGTCCAGAAAGCGGAACAAAACGTCTAGGAGAACCGACTATGGCCGACTTGGCACCCAACAAAACCCCTGGACATCCAGAAAGCCGAGCTTTGCCTCACTCGGCCTTATAAAATCCAAAACGTTCTTTCGGCTGCTGGGGGACCCGGTATGACTTAGTAAGCAGGTACCTCAACTTGTATGAATGCCTATCTGCAGGTAAAATGGGAACGTCTTTCCCCTTCGCCCGGGGCCCGTGTTAACATATCAAAACCGTTGGCGGTCAGCACCTGTTGAATGAGCAGCGCGACCGCTTGGCACAATACAGTAGTACGTATAGTAACCACAACCGTCACTGCCACTGGCGCTGGCTCCACCATCTTTGGGCACCTTGTAATGATAAGGTGTGTATTGATCCTGGTGCCGCCTTCGCATACACTGTTCATAAGCTGAAGGTGTCGGAAAGACCTCGTCAGTCAACATGACCCAAAGATATTCGCCACGGTTGATGGAAGTGCCGTGTACCCTTGTGAGATTTACGCCTGCCCGTTTCGCCGTGTACAACTCCCTGCAGCATGGTGCGCTGTTGAAGAAACCGCGACCCCCTTCCAAGACCAGTATCCCGAATCGGGTCTTCCTTGCATCTCTTGCATATTGACGCAGCCAATCACGACCACCCCAACCACCTGCCAGGTGCAATATGTTTGGCAAAACAACGCAGGCATGGCTCAGTCAGTCAGTCAGATTAATTACTCGAGTCGCTTCCCAGGTTTCAAGATTCCAAAGATCATGCAGAAACCTGAAACATCCAAGCGGAAGTGGTCGTACCCTTTACCTCCGTCCTACTTGAAGTGCCTTGTAGGGAATTGTCGGCGCAGAGCTTGAACCCTTCGCGCATCACGGCCACGGCGATCTTGTCCGCGAAGTCTTTCTGCAGGTTTGTACGTGAGAGAATGAAGTCTGCCTGACAACAGTCGGATTCAAGCCACACTTGCAAAAACAAAGTTACTAGCCTGTTCGCATGATTCTTGCGTCTACATGGCTTTCCCCGGGCGCCTCCTCTGCCCTCGTCACCAGCTTGTTCTGAACGTCAGGCGCAGTGATGCGGATTCGTTCGGCAAAGCTGGTGCCTGTGGCAGCATCGGCGGACGCACCTACGACATTGCCCAGAAGCCGCGGCACCAAATTCTGGGGCAACAGCCCTGCCAGCCTTGCCGGGTCCTGTCCTTTCACCACGGCGGACACGGCGTTGGCGAAATCATCTACAAGGTTTGACGACTTTGCGGCGTTAGCTATGGTGGCGACACCTTGTGCAGCTAAGCCGGCTACTGCCCCGACGGCAGTTGTTTGTGCGAGCTGCTTCGCATTTGCAATGCAGAAAACTTCCTCGCTCGTCTTGGAATTCGTGATGTTTTTTCGGACTGACTCTCCCAGCCAGCCCTCTGTCACAGCGACATCCACACCATCTGATATCAGCTTTCCTGCTGCTGTTGTGCTGGCTCCAATGCCTGCCGCTGCAATGCAGGCACCGGCACCGGCACAGCCAGCAACGGCACCGGCTCCAGCAACGGAGATTGCTCCCCCTACTAGTCCAACGGCCGCTCCGACGCCCAACTCCTTGGTATACTCTGCCCAGCTGCAGTCCTCGTCTCGCCACATGGCCACAGAGCCTTTGACCCCAGCCATGAACAAGGAACTCCCTGCATAGGCAGCAACTAGAGAAAGGCCACCCGTCTGGAAAGCTGCCAAACCGCCACAACAAATCAAAGTAGCCCCGCCCACGATCGCGGCAACGTTGATTCCCCAACGGAGATACCAATCCCAGTAACTCCAGGTACCGGCTTGCTTGCGAAGCTCGCGGTCGTAGCGCCTTTTGAGGTCTGGGTCGAGCAGAACTTTGCGAGCATATTGGATCTTCACCGTCATGATCTCGCATTCCGCCTTTCTTGCTGCTACATTCTTATCGGGATGCCACTGGAGCATGAGGGCGTGGAACCGAAGGCTGATCTTTCTGCTCTCTACTTCCGTGATTTCGGAGAACCGGCGCAAGTTGAAGAGTGCATAGAAATCTTCAGCATCTGCATACTTTGAGACAAGTTTTCGAAGGTGAGCGGATCGACTTTGCCCTGGCGCATGTGCGAGCTGCTCGCTCGACTCCACCTGCATCAGATGCTATACTGGACTCAGATGACCTTAATGCAGGGGCCTTAATACTTACAATAGGGTTTGGGGGCCCATTATACTATACTTATAATAAGGAACCATAGTATTGGTAATTATTTAGGCGCCTACATTACCCATCAAACACGCTCTTCGACTTCAAGCAAATACCTACAAAAAACACACTAAAACTGACACGGCAGTTCGACGCCTGGCTGATCGCGTTTCCACCCATGGAGCTTGCCGGCCCTGCTCTACGACTTGCTCTAGCGGGAACCTCCAAGACGGCTGCCAGAATGCTCACTGCTCGGGACGGACCCTCTTTCCAGGAGCCGGGCATGAAAGTCTGGCATCCTTTGAATTGTCATTCCCCCTAGGCACCTTTGCTCTTCCGGAGGGGTGTTGTTGAGGGTAGGAATTCAGAGACTGCGAGACGTTTGCACGAAGAGGTTTGGATCTGGGCATCGCGTGAGTTGGATGCCACCACTCCTACTCAAATCTTAGCCTCCTGCTTCAGAAGGCGCCAACTTGAACGGTGTCTTGCCGAGGTCGAAGCTTTAGCGAACCATCCCGAAAGCTTGAATCCACAAATATCCCCTGCCGGAGATCTCAGGGTCTGGTAATATCTGGGACGCAGCGTTAATGTAGGGGCCTTAATAATTAGAATAGGGTTTTGGGGGTTCCTTATTATAATTATCGTAGAATATACCCCAAACCCTATTCTAATTCTTAAGGCCCCTACATTACACCCTAAACCGTAAAACGGCTCCAGGCCTGTGCAAGAGGCTGAAGCGGACCCAGCTCCATCTTCGTCGGCTTCACATTGAGGCTGCCTGCATAATAAGGAGGGGGCCAGGGAGAAACATCGTCTAGAGTTTAGGGTTTAGGGTTTGTGAAACTATGCAATTAGAGCCCACAGCTGACACAAGAGCTTTAGGCTTTAGGGCTTTGGGGGTCATGTATCTTGGAGGGAGGTGAGTGATCCAAACATGTGCACAACAACACTCCCTTCGACCATGCAAACACACCCCACGCTCAAATCCTTTTTTGAGCGAGCTAACCCCACAAGCCTGCAAACTAAAGCCCTAAAAGCTCCTGAATGCCGACAGTCCTATAGACACCCTGAACTCTCAAAGCAAATCCAGCACTGCAACTTAAAACGGACTGGACCCAACTTGTGTAGCCTCATAAACCCCTCCAAGCTCCTTAAATTTGACACACCTGGAACCTGATCGCTGAACCCTATCTAGACTCTAGTAAAAGGAAACTGCAGGTGGGGAGTTTAGGGTATATAGGGCTTCTGTAAGGCTTCTATAAGGTATATAGACCTTCTATAACGGTAACTGCCCACCTGAAAATGTCCTAGATCTAGACCCCAAACCAAGCCCTAAGCCCTAAACTCCTAAAGCTGTCGGCCCGGCCTAGCTGGTCCTTTAGATTCGGGGAGGCATCTGCGACCTCCAGTACCAACCGCACCTGACAAAACAAGGCACAGGGAAGGTTGCTGGCTTTTCGGCTATTTACTACAAGTAGAGGTATAACAAGCCCCAAAGCCCAATAACCCAAAACTCTAAAGCCTAAACCCAAAACCCTAAACCCCTACACCCCAAACCCAAAACCCTAAACCCCTACACCCCAAACCCTAAACCCTAAACCCCTAAACCCTAACCCCTGAGCCTGACCTTCGCGTTGGCCTCCAACAGCTGCTTCAGAGGCAAGTTGTTGGAGGAGACGCTCGGCACATCCGCCAGTACCAGTATGCTCGGGTCCTGGCCCGGGGGCGAACTGAAACGGTTTAGGGTTTAGGGTTTAGGGTTTAGGGTTTAGGGTTTAGGGTTTAGGGTTTAGGGTTTAGGGTTTAGGGTTTAGGGTTTAGGGGTTCGTGCTGTGATGCTCTTCTTACTACTTATGGTTTCTGCTGTTCCTGACATTTCTCGAAGTCTGTGAGCAGTCTTGCTGTAGCTCTTTGGTAATATCATGCATCACTACTCTCGGTTTCTATTGCTGTAAGATGCTGCTTACCGCAATCAGTCTCATTGTGACAGTGGTGCGCGGGATGCTGCGGCTGGTATGCTGATGTTCCAACATTCAGAAGTGATGGGAGAACACTACGAAGTTCGGATATGGGTAGGTCTGCAGACTAGATTAGGGTCCCATTTCAGGTCCCTAAAGTAGTGTGGCACCCTTATACACAGGACCCTAAAAAAGGGACCCTAATTTAGAGAACTATACCCATATAAGGTTGCAAGTTTTTGCGCCGCAATAAAGATTCGTGTTCGAGCCTATGATTTAGAGTTGAGGTTTAGGGTTTCGGGTCAAGAGTTTGCGGATCCTCCTGCAATGCGCGCAAGAGATCTTGCAGGCTCTCCGAGATCTTGCTTGGGATATCACCTGGCATCCATTCGGCCCAGGTTTAAGCGTTCCGGGTTCAGGTGTTCTACATTAAATCGGGGTCCGGATCCTATCCTGGCCAACATCGAAGCGTTTATCGGGCAACCCCCGATAGGCCGCTATCAACAAAGCCACAACGGCCTATGGCCCCTCTCAAACAGAACAGGCAGGGGAAGGCCAGCCTCATGATAGCAAGGCCAGAAACCAGTTGTAACTTGTAAGCTGACTATGGTCATCCGCTGGCGTAAAAAAAAACAGCGATGCTTGCACAACGCCTGTTGTGTGAGTTTTGGTGGGGTGGCATCGGCCTGCATGATTAGAGTACAGTTCCGGGTCGTGCTTTGGTTGCGCAGGGTTCATTACAACAGGGCTTCGAACTACTTGTGAAGCCATTGGGGCCAAGTGTGTTTCCTTCCCTGACTGGCACTGTCGGTTTTCCACACGCGGCTCAATGCATTCAAGCCACCATTTAGCCAGTACCTTGGCGGATGAGGGCTTAGGTTTAGAGCTTCGGCTCACCACCATTCTTCCAATGCTTCCATGCAACCGTAGGCCGGTGAGTTAAAACAGTGAAAACCATACAAACTGGATTCTGTGTCTATGCAAGATGTCATTAATGGCTGACTAAAGTTGCAACCCAGCCACACCTCCTGAAAGCCATCCTGCAAGCTGTCCCCGCGCCGCATCTGCACAAATCGGCCGGCAGCAACCATCAGCGCCGTCTTCCCGATGCCTGCGTCCCGGTTAGGAAAGAAGAAAGGATTGCTGTTGCGGATTCCGTCTTAAAATACTAGGAAGCCCACACCGGAGAAAAACAAAAAGGATCCAAAAGATTGACCAAAGATACCTTTGCTCCCCGACAGCGTTACGAGCCGCCTCGGCTTTCGCGGGGCCGGGGGTAGGACAAATGGGCTCTTCGGGCTTGTAGCGTCTAGGGTTTGGGGTTCAGGGATGTAGGGTTTAGGGTTGTAGGGTCTATGGTTCAGGGATGTAGGGTTTGGGGTCGTTGGGTTTATGGATCATCTTTGGCTTGTCAGCAAAGCCACAGAGCCGAACTTTACCGTTCGAACCAACTAACCCGAAGTCTAGGGTTTAGGGTGTAGTGTTTGGGGTCTAGGGCGGTTTATGTTGAAGCTGCTTTTTGCGACGATCGCTTCTTGTGATCTATCTTGCATATCTACCAGAGCTACGGCGATCAGACGACTTAAACCATTGGTCTACGAGCGGCCTGGATTTCAAGTGGCACAGCAGCCTCCAGATGTCCACCTGCAACGTAAAAACATAACACCAGGTCTATGCCATCGTGCTCATTACTAGCATTACGACTCCGAGCGGTCAATGCAAGACCCAGACTACAAAGGAAGGAAGCAAGACTACAGATATAGGAAGATGCTCCTGCGATGCTATATGATGTACCTATCTCTAGTAGTAGCACTGAAATATTCTACAAGATGAAACCACATGTATGGTGCGACCCTTGTAGTACCCTCTGCAGCAGCCTTTTTCCTTTCTGATACCCTTACAGCACCCTCCATAATACACTATGGCGATGATGGCGCAGCATCCTTAAGACTCCGTACTATACTTCTGTTATGATATATTCCCAAACCCTGTTCACATTATTAAAGCACTTTGAATACTGATATAGCATACCTCCAAGCCCTTTTCTCAAACTATTAATTAAAGCACTGTTAATACTGATATAATATACCCCCCCCCCCCAGCCCCATTCAAATTATTAAACCACTTTCAATACTGATATAATATACCCCCCCAAGCCCTTTTCAAACTTAACTAAAGCACTATTAATACTGATATAATATACCGCCCAAGCCCGGTTCAGATTATTAAGACCCTTGCACGACTCGATTTCAGGGCCTCCCGGCCCATGAAGTCCTCCACCCGCGCAGGAAGCCAGCGCGGTGACGCGGAACTGGCGCGGAGCTGCTTTTGTGGTGCTAAATATACAGAATAGAGGAGCCAAAAATAAGGGGAATAGGGTTAAAGGTGCTAGAATAAGGGTTTCTATAAGTGATAGTCGGAGTACTACAAAGGGAGTATAGGGGATACTCTTGCTAATCATGCAGACATCTGTACGTAGTGCCTGAACCTTTCGGGTAGGATGGCCCAAAAGGATACCTCACTAAACCCTAAACCCTAAACCCACCCTAACCCCTAAAAATATAAGAAAAACCCAAGGGGATACCTTACTAAACCCCTAAACCCTAAACCCTAAACCCGACACTTACCGGGCTCTGTGGGCTTGGGTCGGGCTCTGGAGGTCCACTGGGTGGGTCTGAAGACATGCTGGTTTTATAGAAAACCCATATAGATCCCTTGTATAGTAACCCCTTTGGAAAGAAGTATAAACCCCCTTTCTATAGACCAGCAGGGCTCATTGAAAGCCCTGCACGAAAAACTCAGCATTTTGGGGGTTTTGCGGCACCGGTCCTTTCCTTTCTTGGGCATAGAAGCCTTCAGTCTGCGCAAGTACAGTGAATGCTCTGCCTGCACATAGACCTCATCCTACAACATCCCACTTTAGGGGTTTAGGGTTAGGGTTTAGGGTTTAGGAACGTAAGAAACACACCCTCCAAACCACGCAAAATCCCCCACCTCGCTCGTTGAATGACAAACCCCCTTGCGACCTCGGCAAGGTAGCAGCCACACCAGCCAGCACAACGTTGTGGTCGCCGCCTAGCTTGGTGGAAGTTGGGTCTCGCAGCATGTGCTCTAATGTAAGGGCCCTGATAATCTAATAATTAGAACAGGATTTTGGTGTATACTATACTATAACTATAATCAGGAACCCCGAAACTAGTATTGGCAATTATTTAGGCCCTTATATTATGTTGGTTATGTATTCTATTACATTATAGTATATTGTACTATATTATATCATATTGCACATATTATACCATATTCTACTACATTATTACAAGTCCGGCTGGACGAGGGCTCTGTCGAGTCTCTGCTCTCAATCTTCAGGCCCAGAGCACCACTCCAAATCCGAAATCCTAGACCTTTAGGGTTCAGGGCTTTAGGGTTTTGGGTTTAGGGTTTGGGGTTTAGGGTTTTTTCCAACTGCATAAAGGTATGCGGACCTTTAGGGTTTAGGGCTTCGGGTTTAGACCCTACCACCTGCCTTCCGGAAGGAGAACGAAGGAGCCCGCATCCTTCTGGCACATCCCGTCCGAGCTGTGGCGAAGGGAAGCAACCCCGCACCTTGGGTTCTGGCCCAGGCGGAGATGGACAGCACCCGAGGTGCCGAGGTATATGAGCGAGGGGAGTATCACTTCGATTTCGTTTATTACGAAGTCTTCTTATCTCTGACTTCTATTTTGGAACAGACTGTCAGCTGACTATGGTGAGGATTTCGGCTGCTCTCAGACGGCCGAGCCACCCGAAGGACTCGCCGATGCTTCGACCCGCCCTCAGGGCGCTGAAGAAGTTCCGGGCAAAGAGGCGGCAGCTGTTGTCGCGGACCTCCTTGTCGTCCTGCACACAGACCTCAGGTAGAAAAAACCTCCAAGCGCTTACAAACTCTCGTAATTGTAGAAGACACCCCTGAAAGCTTACTGGGGCATGTCATTCTTGGGACTCCCGATTCGGGGAGCTTGAAGTCTCGAGTCTCTGAGTTTGTGCTCTCAGTTGCCCAAGCAAAGATTAGGGTTTAGGGTTTAGGGTTTAGGGTTTAGGGTTTAGCAGAAGTCGAGCAGATGTGGCCCAGGCACCACGTGCTTCACCCCGGCTTGGACGAAGTGCTGACCCACTGCGAAGGAATGGCACGCATTGAGCACCTGAAGGTCAGCCCAATATATGGGCCTTAATATAATTACCTATACTATTTTGGGGCTCCTTGTTATAATTATGGTATAGTATACCCCAAAACCCCATTCTAGTTATTAAGAGTCAGGTGCACCTCCTCAGGCCGACCAGAATGCGTTGTTAAATTTAAATATAAGGAATACTAAGAGGATTTCTGACACTTTATGGGCTACAAAAGGGTGTACTGCAGTTACTATTAGCTTAGTCGACACAGGAGGGACACATCTAAGAGCCTTACCACCAGCTTGACGCACTGCGACGCTTGTCCATCTGTCAGGAGGCTCTGGAAATCCTCGCAATCAGGGTTAGCGGTAACGTAGGGGCCATAATGATTAGAATGGGGTTTTGGGCTCTTTTAGAGTAGTAATATAATAAGGGATCCCAACAATAATATTGGTACTTATTCAGGTTTCTAAAATATCAAACGGTCCAACCCCATGAGGGAAGTTCACGTTCCAGTTGCTGATTCCGGAAGTCGAACTGGTGGTCTTGTTGCTTCTATTCCTGGCAACCATCTTGCGAACTATTGCTGCCCCCCCCCATCACTGTCGCTACTACTGTAGATGCTGTTGAGCTAGCTATAACTTCATTGATCCGCGGGCAGCCAATTCCCAATGGCATCGAGAGAGCTCATCAACGGCCTTTTTTTCTTCCTCAGACTCTGGTTGCTACCTTATGTTCGTTTTCATGAACCGACCATGACAGTTCTGGGATGGCCTTGGAAGAGAGAGCATCTGCCGCGCGAGGCGCGTGTCGCAAAGCGACGTTTAAAGAAAAAAAGCCAGGGCGAGTCCTCGACCCTGAACCCTCAAACCGAAGTCCTACAGACCGCCCAGATATCTAAAACCCTAGAGCACACCCTAGTCAAGCAAGATTGCTTGATCATGACGTGAAACCCCATCTGACTAGGAAGCGTTCTAGCCTCATGCATATTCCATAGATCCTAGGAAGAATCCTATCCATTTGATGGAAGAGTCTTGATAATGGGGTAGTGGGCTCCATGAGTCTTCCGTGAATCCCAAAACCCCAACTTACAAACCCCGAAACCCCCCCTCAAAAAATAAAACTGTCCCCTCAAAATGCCCAACCGTAAAGCCCCAAAACCCCGAAACTCCCAAAACCCCTGCCCTACACCCCAAACCCTCAAACCCCAAACCTTAAGCCCTAAACCCTAAAACCCCGAAACTTAAACCCCAATCCCAAACCCTAAACCCCAAAACCCCAAACCCTAAACCCCAACCCCAAACCCTAAACCCCAAACCCCAAACTCCAAAAATCTTAAACCCTGAACCCCCAAAAGTGGCCTCGGCGGTCATGATGTGAGCCTTGCCCTGGGGATCTTCGAGGAAGAGGTGTCGGGCCTGGCAGGCACCGGAGTATTAGGATTTGGGAGGATTTAGGATTTTAGGGTTTAGGGTTTAGGGTTTAGGGTTTAGGGTTTAGAGTTTAGAGTTTAGGGTTTAGTTTAGACATTAGGGTTTAGGGTTTAGGGTTAAGTTCTAGTTCCTTTAAAGGAACTACGAGGGTTTCTTGCATGGGAATTAAAAGGGTACTCTAGGGTTTAGGGTTTAGGGCTTTAGGGCAGACACCGGAATTTAGTGCAATATGGGGGCCTTAATAATTGGAATAGGGTTTTGGGGTTATTATACTGTGATGAGAATAAGGAACCCCCACAATAGCATTGGTAATTTTGCCCCCCTATTGGGGGGTTTAGGGCGATAGGGCTTTAAGGCTTCAAGGCTTTCGGGTTTCAGGGTTTAGGGTTGGAGGGGTTGAGGGATTGAGGTTTAATGTTTAGGGTTTAAGGTCCTGGGTTTCGGATTTAGTGGTGGGGTCTTGGGTTTGGGAGTTGCGCGTTGCGTCGCGCAGGACGGTCTCAGAATTCTGTGTGGCTGGGGAAAAACAAATCCAACGCAGAGGCGCATGCAAGTGTGTACAGAAAGGCTCGCGAGGAAAAATCACGCAAGTGTCTGCCGCCACTCACACCTATCATGTGTGTGCTCCCGCATCTAGCCTTCCGGCTGTATGGACATGAGTGGGCGTGATACGCCACATACCCATTGATAGTTGACAAAAATGCTTGCGGTTGTGCCATGTCCCTGGTCTCCAACCCACCAACCCTAAACCTCAAAAGGCCCCAAACCGTTCTTTGGCACAGAGCCTGGCCAGATGAGCAGTGAAGCGCCAGGTGCAGCACCTGACTCCGAGACTCCAACATCCCGTGGATTCGGGCAGGTCTAGTCTGGGTTTAAGCCTTACTGATCAGAATAGGTTTTGGGGCATGTTCTGGTATAGCTGTAAAAAGGACTACAATAAAAAAGTATACGCGGGCCCAGATCTGTGATTGAAGTGGCCAGATGAGTTTAGGTTTTAGTTCGTTGAAGAGGGCTCGGGGGGCGGACATGGCTGCTAATGTAGGAACCTAAGAAACCCTGGCCCGGCTCATATTGAGAACCCTAGTAAAGACCCGGGGTTTCTAATCAGGTTCCTACGTTAAACCCTAAACCCCTAAATCCCTAAACCCTAAACCCCTAAATTTTAGGCCCTAAATCCCCAGGGTAGGGTTTAGGGCGAAGGGCTGCTAGGAACATGGCAAGGCCTCGCAGTCGGCGCGCGCGATGAGATGGCGCAGGTTTTGCGACGTCGCCGCCGAGGGAAGGACCTCGCAGCCGCTTTGGCGAACTTCTGCGACCTCAAGGGCACCGGCAACCGGCTTGCGATGCGATCCGCTTCGACCAAACAGTTAAGGGAAACTACAGGTGGGGAGTTTAGGGTATATAGGGCTTCTATAAGGCTTCCATAAGGTATATAGGCCTTCTATAACGCTCCTAAAACGGTAACTACCCACCTGAAAATGTCCTAGAAACAGATGCACGATGTGTATTGAAGCATCTTCATGACTCCCAAGTCATCACCTCGCCGATCTTCAATCCAAGTGAGGCCACCGGCCTCCTCTTCCACCTGCAGCTGCGGCAACGGCCGCATTCCCTTGAAGACCAGCCTTGGATGAATGCGGGTAGCAGAAACGGCTAGAGAAGCGGCACCTTGTGGAAACAAAAGCCACAACAGCAGGAGCAATCATAAGACTGATGGCAGCCGCAAGAAGACGAGAATCAGTGGTAGTCATAAGCAGCAGACCTTTGAGAACTGCCACATCACACAAGTTGCATCATCACTACTAGCAATGATCGTCACCTTCACCATACAAGCGAGAGCGATTGCGATCATTCTCCTCATCATCATCACCTATATAGTCCTCGTCATCGCCATCAAAGTTGCCTTGTGCATCGCCGCCATCATCATCATCATCACCATCATCGTCACCCTCCTCTACGTCCACGGCATCATCATAAGCCAAATGAGACATCGACTTCAAGCCCCAGTTCTTACCTGAAGTCAGGCCAATACTCATCACTCGAATCCCCAAGTCCCCCCGCTTAACCCCAAACCCCAAACCATAAACGCTAAAAAACAAATTCGAAACCCTAAACCCCAGACCCGAAACACCAAACCACAACCCTAAAGGCCCTAAACCAAGGAACTGCAGCTGCACCTCCGGCACCTTGGCAAGCGCCGGCACGCGGTGCACGAGCTGGGCAACCAAGGTCCCAGGCCCTTGGCCCTGTGCCAGAATCTCGACGGGTGCACCTGGAAGACGCCAGGGCCGCTAGGGTTTAGGGTTTAGGGTTTCGGGTTTAGGGTTTAGGGTTTAGGGTTTGGGGCTTGGGGTTCAGAGTGCGGGGTTCAGTATGTTGGGGGTGAGTTGAGGGCCTGGGCTTCAAAGCAGCAGCAGTTCTAGGATTAGGGTTTAGGGTTTAGGGTTTAGGGTTTAGGGTTTAGGGTTTAGGGTTTAGGGTTTAGGATCTAGGATTGATGCCGAAAGTCCTGGCACGATCATCGGCGCCACGCTTCGGGAGGGCGATTCAGAAGGGCCGGATACCGGAGGCGGATGGGCTGCCTCAGCTGCACACCCTCTATTTAGGGTTTAGGGTTTAGGGCTTAGGGTTTAGGGTTTAGTACTTCTGCCGAGCATACACACCAACATCCTAAACTCTTAAGACCCTAAACTCAAAAAACCTAGACCTTAAACCCGAAACCCGAACACCTTGAACCCCCCACACCCCAAATCAACCTACAAGCCCCAAAAGTTGTCCAAAACTCGGCGTCGAGCAACTTCCGGGCATGCGTCCTCCCGCCGCGCCCGCAAGAACACCTTGAAAAGCTCGTCTCCGGGCTGGATCATCGCCTTACTTTTTCGGGTTTAGCGTTTAGGGTCTAGAGTTTAGGCTGTAAGGTTTAGGGCGGGTTTCCATAGGGAGCCCTGACAGCAAGCCACATGGAACCCTTGTCAAAACCATAAGATACCTTGCAAAACGCTATGAAAACTTGTCAAGCCTTAGACGCACCCTACACAACGATACAAAGCCTGACAGAACCCTTAGAAACCGTTGTGAACCCCGACACAGGAACTAGGGCTCTAGGATTCTATACTGTATTGAGCACAATAAGTGTTACTTACTTTCTGGAATATCACAAGGTTTCAAAATTACTTCAGGGATGCTTGAGTGGGGTTCATGTAAGTGCGACTATCATGGTCCAACAGGGCTCGTTTAACCCTTTAGGGGTTTGGAGTGTAGAGTTTGGGGGCTGTGGGGTTCTCGCGTTCGGGGCGGGGTAGCCGGTTGTTTGGGAGCCTGGGATTAAAGAGCCTCTTCACAACAGGGCTGACAGTCTGGCTTAGCTTTCGGGCGTTTGGTTTAGGTGTTGTTTCAGGTTTCGGGTTGGTTTGGCTTTGGTTTGGTCCATGTTTAGGGCTGGTGCTGCGTAGGGTAAAGCGGCGGGGGATGTGTGTCTCTCCCCAAGGAACTTCTGCATGTTTGTGGCGCCGATTCCACAGCGCTGCCTGTTCGACAGGATGACAACAGATACGTTCAGAGTTCATGCTGCACCGCTCAGGGCTTAGAGCACTGGGATTACGGGGACTGCAGAAACACATATATGTATTCATGTCATGTATATCGGCGTATACATGTGTAGATGCGTGTGTATTAGTATATCTGTATATACGATTATTTATATACATATATATATATATATAGATATCGACTTGGGATGCGTATGGCGCCTGAGATAGATTTCGGCGGGTTCAGAAGCCCCGAACAAAGACCGGGTACATAACCCTCTACGGAACCCACAACAAAGGGGCCTAAGCCCCAAACCCTAAACCGTCTACGTACCCAATCCAAGATCCTCGCTCACAAGTCCCTGCAAGCAAAACTGATATGTGAAACCCTATGAAACTCTCATGACACAATCGTGGACACTGTATATGAAACTCCAGAGACAGTATGAAAGCCCAGACCCTACGAACCCCCCCCCCCCCC